CATTCCCCGTTCCATTCCCCCATTCCCCGTTCCCTGTTTTAAAGATAGCCTATGTAATATTATTGTCAGTAGGATAGTTGCTGTACTATCTAATGACCCGTTTTTGAGGCATTTCTATGTACCGGACCTAATGTTAATTTCGACTACTTGAAGACTCTCGCGTTTCCCTCATTTAAAAACTACATGTACAAGTTATTACTTTTTGTGATAGTGTGAAGTCTGTACTGTAAAATATCAGGCCGATGCTTTTTACTCCATGCAAAAATCTAGTCTTCCAATCAAAATAAAGGATTCTGCCGTGGTGCATACGCAAACGCGTCGTTGACTTTACTTATTTAGGCTATGAAAACAGTATAATACTTAACTCCAGAATTCCGTCCGTCATTTCTCTTTTTACTCTTCAACTCTTGGCAGGTGCTTTTGACATAAATATAAAATTCTACCTTTTATTTATCGCTATTCCCTACTCATATGTTAAAATATCGATGTTTGCGAGAAATGTTGATAATTTTTAACGGATATATAGTCAGATACAAGTATTTTTACACCAATTCGTTTGCTCCATTCAACGAAAGTAAGATAACCAAAATAGGGTATAAGAATTCCCCTATGCCTTGTCTAAACTTGTTATATATAAACCTTGCAGTCTGTGCGTTAACTGCTATGTAGCACGCTTATATATGTTGCCAAGAGAAAAAATTTATGCGCTTGTTTTATTATTCAGAAAATGGGTGTTAAATTTCCAAAAATGATTTTCTTAATTTCACAGACAATGTAAGAAATAGAATAACTATTGCGCGTACGTGAGTGAAAGAACTATGCATTTATTATAATTATATAGGCCTTTGATGTATAATCAACGACTTTTCCTTTAATTTAATAATGGTCGTTACTCGCTATATAATAAATTATTCGACTGAAAAAATTACTAACTTGAATAAAGACTAAATAAAATGGCATCAGAAGCGGTACCTTTTAACCCAGGAGTTAAAAAAACCTCTTTCAATATAGCGACTGAACTCGTTTAGTTTCTTTTTTCAAACTTTATTCCATCGACGAGACGAGCACGAACAGCGTCGACAATGTGAAACAATTATAGCAAAATGTTTTAATATCTACGGCGGCAAAGTATTGTTATAATGTTATTATTACAAATGTTACAAAATTACATCAATATTAATTAATATACACGTTTTTGAAGTATGAACACTGGAATTAATTAGATTTTTGGAAAATTTTTGCAGTATATATCCGGCAACATAATTGCTATAGAATAACCATGAACGTCAATCCGACGTTAATTGAGGAGGACGATATTCATATAATATTCTGTTAGGCCAGGCTGATTTAATTCTAGCGAATGTGAAATTGTTTTCAAAAGAATTTAGCCAGGCATAGCAGACTATGTGAATATGGTCCCCCTCTATTAACGTTCCATGGACTTGTGAGTACAATCAGTTTCGAAAGTAAAAGGAATCAGTTAGAGCAAAAATACCTGCAAATTTTATCTAACGCGGATTGTCAGATATTCAATGTTGTTGATGCGATTAACAACATGTGTTAAGTCTTCACAACATTGACTAGGGGGCGAAGGGACAACTTTGGAGCTAAAGATTATTAAAGATGGTACACACTTGAGATTGCCAAAGCTTAATCAAAGTAATTCCGAGCAACCTGCAATTTTCGGGCGATCATCCGGAGCCGGTTGTTCAAAAGCCGGTTAGCTTAACCCTGGGTTAAAGCAAATCTTTACATTGATTTTTTAAGTCGCTTGTTTACAAAGTTGAATATCTTTTTTCATAAATATTTTCTGTACCAATAGAAGTCATATTTTCTAAAGTTTCAAAACGAACAGTGGTTCAGAAGCACATAAACTAAAACACTGGATTAAAATTTAACCCAGGGTTAACGCTAACCTAGCTTTGAACAACTGGCTAATCGCTATCCAGCTTTTGTACAACCGGCGTCCTCTCTTTATCTAATATCGACTCATTTATCTGATGTATAGCATGCATCCATAGCTGTCAGCCCGCTCATCACTGTGCTGGCGCGTGCAAAAGGCCAGCAACTGCCCTAATTGATTAATTTCACTTGGAGATCTGCAATTGCACTCGGGTCTTGTGACAGAACATACCAAATGTAGTGGGATTCAAAATAGTCCAAATGCTATGTTATTTACGTTCAGGGATTTCGGACGGTCCTTAAGTGGAGGGAAGGCTAATATTTGTATCTTCGTGTTTTCTCTTATTCGCATCCTTTTAAATTGATTACTTTCACGGTCTGTTAACACGAATATTTGAATACGAGTCCCTTGTGGATGCATCTACGCTTAGTTCTATCTGGCTCACAGAAAGACACCGGTAAATTCGATATAGCTAAAAACCTTATTTAAACAGACGTTAGAGAGGTTAAGATACCCCGGTTCCGGTGTACGGGTACGGGTAGCGCCATTTTGTTTTCCATTTTTCGCTGATGTCAGCATATTTACCCGTAATATCTACCCGTTTTCCCGTTGTAAACGACGGTCTACACGTAAACAACGAACGGGTAACTACAAAGACAAAGTGGTCAAAGTTTTTTTAATAAAGGACAAATGGAGAAGCGGGTGAGTGTCTTTAACACGTTTAAAATACATTTTACGTATTAATATGGTGTTCATATTGTTCAGGCTTCTCAAAAATGGTTTGCAAACATAATTTATGAACGCCATCTTGATATTTTTGATTTTCAAAACAAACACACGAAATACTATAGTTATATAAAAGTTAAGTAGGACTTACAATGGAAATGTATAATACATATTTACTTTTATAGTCAGTTCTTACCCGGTGTTGTTCTTACCCGGAATTTAAGAAAATTCTTAAGTTGGAAACCGTACCCGTCTTACCGGTAACGGGTACGTGTAATTCACCCGTACCCGTACACCGGAACCGGGGTATCTTAACCTCTCTATTGTTTACTCGATCCACGGTTAGCAAATTATGGCCGTTTAACCGTTTACCATTGCTGCTCGGTATTAGGATAGGTATAACAAAAACTAAAAACATAAAATTATATACATGGTAAACTATGTGCTTAAGGCTACAAATATTATACGTGAATGCACAGAGGCAGAGTAATAAATACAAGCTTACATACATCTGTGTCCTTTTCTAGCTTGAAGCAAGTCCGTTGAACCTTTAACTTAACTTCGATCGTTATAAATATTAGAATCAGATGTTCACTGTTCGACTTTGTACGATTCACTGCTGTCTGATTTGATTTATCTGCACGTGTTAAACGTCTTATAACTATATGCACATGCATAATATTTGTAGCCTTAAGCACATAGTTTACCATGTATATAATTTTATGTTTTTAGTTTTTGTTACCTATCCTAATACCGAGCAGCAATGGTAAACGGTTAAACGGCCATAATTTGCTAACCGTGGATCGAGTAAACAACGTCTGTTTAAATAAAGTTTTTAGCTATATCGAATTTACCGGTGTCTTTCTGTGAGCCAGATAGAACTAAGCGTAGATGCATTCACATTGTAACAAAAATCTCGATCGTTTTACCGAAATACAACGAAACGTTCGTAATCAGTAATTATTTAATGAGGTCGTCGTTGACGGTATGGCTTCAAAGGTCGACGAAGATACGCAGCCTGAGATATTTGCGGAGGAAACAGATATTCCTATACAATCGACAAACAGTCAACAACAGAATGATCGTACGCCCACAGTAGAACAAACAAGCTCGGATGGCGATGATGAGAATCAAGGCCAAAGGCATGAACAGTCTGACACACTGGGACCTCGGCGTCGGATAGCGACTGAAAAGGGAAGATCAGAAAAGATCGATCGTCTCAGACAGCGACGAATAACAGCCTTACGTGCCGTGACACGGCAAAGGAACGTATTGTCACCTCTAATGACAGACAGTAACGATTTACATCTTGTAAAATTTGAGTTATCTCATTTGGAAGAACTTTTTTCAGAATACAGAAAAGCGTGTGAATCTCATCTAAAAGAATTAGTCGATGACGAGGTTAAACAAGCAGAAATTGAACATAACAAATTGAAAGATACAGAGATTGTAATGTACTTAAGTCAAGTGTCGTCATGGATCACTGAAGCCGAGCATAATTTATCTGACCGCTTGGAGTCCCTAAGCAGCAAAGCCTCTGATCGCACTCGAGCATCACATTATTCTCGTGCATCTAAGACTAACGCCTGTATTCAAAAAGCTCACTCACACTCACACTCATTGAGTGTGACATATAAATTTTGTTAATGCTGATCAATGAGAAAGTTTTCTCTGAATAGATGGAAAGATATAAGGTAAATCACTAAAAATCAAGCTCCTATTCGGCCTGAAATACCGCCATTCAAACGTTATTAGAAGATTAAGATCTCCCACTCAATGAGTTTGAATGTGAGTGAGCTTTTAGAATACAGGCGTAAGTCTAAGACCAGTTCAAGATCGTCGAAGCTCTCTGCTAGGAAGCAAGAAAAGGTTAAATTGGCCGAATTAATGGTCGAAAGATCTATGTTAAAGAAGAAACAAGCCCTTAAGAATGCTGAAGAAGATCTAAAGTTGGAAATAGAGATAGTTAAGGCGGAAGCGAGAGAGAGAGCTCTGGCTGAAATGAGCGATGACGAACCGTCTGATAAGCAAAGACTTCTCGGCCAAGCTTCAGTAGCTTCCAATGTTCCTTCAATCTCCAAGACGTCAGGATCATCCTTTCAACAGCTTCCAGTTCGAAGACTCCCTCCTACACTACAAACAGCAAATCAACCATTTGAAACATCGCATAACGTAACCGAAAGACGAAGTGTAATGCGTGGTCATGCATACACTACCTCAGCGTCATGATCATCCAACACCACGTCAGGAAGTACGATTTCCACTAAATGCTCGACTGTTTGGAAACGAATATTCTACGTCTGTAAAACCTACCTCACTGTCAAAGGGTAACAATGTAAATAATGAGACAAAGAGCGTGCTTGAAGGTATGATGCTACTACAGCAAAGGCAGACAGAAACTTTGATAGCAGCCCATCAACAGCTCACCGCTTCAATGACTTTACCGCAGTCATCTATAAGCATATTTAGAGGCGATCCTTTAGAATACAGAACCTTTGTCACGTCTTTTGACGCTCGAATACAACATCGAGTTCATAACAAAGCTGACCTTCTCTACTATTTAAATCAATATTTAACTGGAGAACCGAAAGATCTGATCGAAGGCTGTTTACACATGGACCCTGATGAAGGTTACACAGAAGCAAGACGGTTGTTGAAGAAGGAGTATGGGGATCCATATAAGATATCCATGGCATATATCCAGAAAATCTTAAGTTGGCCAGCTATCAAATCGGATGAAGGAAAGGTCCTGAAATCATTTTCTCTTTTTCTGATCAAATGTAAGACCGCTATGAAGAGTATTTCTCATTTGTGTGTACTTGATCATGCACCGAACATGCAAGCAGTGGTATCAAAGTTGCCGTTCCATCTGCAAGCAAAGTGGAGAGATCTCGTAGCCAAGATCAGAAGAGACAACGCAAAGATAGCCAACTTTGAGAACTTGACTGATTTTGTTCAATCCGCTGCTGATGCTGCAAATGATCCAGTATTTGGGAAAGATGCTCTCAGTAAAGGCAAAGAAAATTCCAAGAAATTTGAAAGGAGAGACGGTAGTCAGTCAAAGAACCAGAACTTTAGTTTCGTAACGAACCCTACGTTAGTACACGGGGCCGGGTCAGCAAAACAGAACATTGTCTGTCCGTTATGCAACTCTTCTCACGACATGGCCAGAAAATTCGGACATAATTAACATTCTACTTCCGCCTAAATTTGCATATGGTGTCAAAATAAAGCTTCGTGAGCTTATAGTAAACTGTAATGTGCACAGTACTAAACGCTATAAATACAGCTTTAGGTGGTCGATTATAATTTGCCTTAATTGCTCGTTGCAGAGAAAGTTAATCTTAATATTTTGAGACAGTATTTCAAAATGTTTTATCAGTATTCGTCCTGCATTTTCAAAACAAAGTTTTGGTCATTTATCACGTTGAATACCATATAAAACGAAAACCGTAATAGCGTACAAATAAAATAAAAATGCAGAGCCGACATAAACCTTTACCAGCAAAATATTAACTCAGGATCTTTAATATGACACGAATTACAAGAAACAACCAGGGCAAATTGCAAAGATGCAATGGTTTTCCTTAATTTTGCGAAATTTAAGAATGCGCAATGTAATTTTTAGTTCTGCAAACGAATAATATTTGAACAGATATGCAAATTTGCTACGGCAATCTGCATATTCCATGTCCGCAATTTCTGGCCATGCTTGGACGATTGTCAAACTTTCCTGAAGAAAACCGTTGAACAAAGAAAAGAATACCTTAAGCAGAACAAGATGTGTTTCGCGTGTTACGAGAAGAACCACATATCAAAGGGCTGTCTACGAAAAAGGAAATGTAAGAAATGTAATAAGCCACATCCATCTGCACTTCATATTGAGGATTTCAAGTTAGAGAATCAAGATCATGAGAACAAGGAAGAAGTTAAGAATGCTTGTACTAAAATACCATTCAACTCCCCGAATGATGTAGTGATCGTACATGCTATCATTCCAGTGAAAGTCAAGCGGAAGGGTGGCACCGCAACAGTAACTACCTACGCATTTTATGACAACGGTAGTGGAGGCTGTTTCCTAACAGAAAGTCTTCAAGAACAGCTCGGTGTACAAGGCCGAAGTACGAAGTTGCAGCTTGGAACGATGCTCGGTCGTAATTTGGTGGACAGTACCATTGTAGAAGATTTGGTAGTGACTGATATGAAAGACGCTAATCCAGTCGAAATACCAAGACTGTATACAAGAACTGAGATTCCAGTCACAGAGAAACAAATCCCTACTCCTGGAATGATGCAACGGTGGCAACACCTTCACGAAATTGCGAAGTTGATTCCAGAGTTTCAACCAGGCCTTGAAATCGGTTTATTAATCGGTAGTAATTGCCCAGCAGCACTCGAGCCTTTAGAAGTTGTACCCAGCCATGGTGAGGGTCCCTTCGCAATGCGTCTTCGTCACGGATGGACTTTGATTGGTCCCCTGTCCATAATCAACACCTCACAAACTGACATCTCGTGTCATCGAATTGTTGTTCGTGAAGCAAATGATACAGTTAAAGAAGTAGTATGTTTGAAATGGACTTTAACGACTGCAAAGTGGGTCCCGACGAACGTAGCCTTTCTCAAGAAGACAAGCAATTTCTAACTAAGATGGATGATGGCATTCGTCTAATCAACGGTCATTATGAAACCCCCCTTCCTTTTAGAAATCCAGAGGTCATATTACCAAACAACAGAAGTCAGGCATTGAAGCGAGCATTGTGGCAGAAAAAGAAAATGCAACGTGATACCAAATACCACCGTGATTACTGTGAATTTAAGAACGAAATCATTCGCCAAGGTTATGCTCGTAAGATACCTGAAAGTGAAGTTTGTCCAGCGTCTGGTAAAGTTTGGTACGTACCACATCACGGCGTCTATCATCCTAAAAAACCCGAAAAGATACGCGTCGTCTTCGACTGTAGCGCTGACTATGCTGGAACATCATTAAACAAATCATTACTACAAGGTCCAATCTTACAAATTCTCTCGTTGGTGTTCTTACCCGCTTCAGAAAAGAACCCATAGCCTTTATGGCGGACGTGGAGGCCATGTTCCATCAAGTTCGGGTGCCAAAAGAACAGTGGAACTATTTGAGGTTTCTTTGGTGGCCAGAAGGTAACTTGGATGGGGAAATTGAAGAGTATCAAATGGTAGTCCATCTTTTCGGGGCAGTTTCTTCACCGAGTTGTTGCAATTATGCGCTAAGGAAGACAGCTACAGACAACGAGTCAGATTAACCAGTCGTTGCTGAAATTATTCGGCGAAATTTTTATGTCGATGACTGTTTGCGTTCAGACAAAACTGTAGAAAGTACCACGAACTTAATGCAAGACCTAAAGATAGTGTGCGCAAAAGGAGGATTTCATTTGACCAAATTTGTCAGTAACAGTCGTGCGGTTCTTGAGACAATCCCAGCAGAAGAACGTTCAAAGGAAACCAGAACATTAGACCTAGACTGTGACAAACTACCTATTGAACGTGCTCTTGGAATGCAGTGGTGCGTCGAATTAGATGTTTTCGAATTCTGCATTGTTCTTAGCAACAAACCGCTTACTAGAAGAGGAATATTATCAACTGTCTCCTCCGTCTATGATCCTCTTGGTTTCGGAGCCCCGTTTTTACTCCCCGCAAAGAAAATACTTCAAGACCTTTGCCGTGAAGACCTTGGCTGGGATGAGGAAGTTTCTGAAGGGCACAAGATTCGGTGGGGAAAATGGCTAAAAGAGCTCCTTTCACTTCAGAAGTTGCAAGTGCCACGATGCTTCAAACCCACAGATTTTGGGAAAGTAGTTTCTCAACAAATTCATATCTTCTCCGATGCCAGTGCAACAGGCTATGGAGCGGTAGCATACCTTCGTTTATGTGATGAGAATGATCGTATCTATTGTTCATTCCTACTGGGTAAAGCTCGTCTAGCTCCGATAAAGATAGTTACGATACCACGTTTGGAACTCACCGCCGCGGCAGTAGCCGTTCGTATCGGAGAACTGTTAAAGAATGAGTTGGACGATATCTTTGACATGAAAAACCATACCGATTCCACAACCGTTCTTCGTTATATCATGAACGAGAAACAAAGGTTTCACGTATTTGTGGCAAACCGTATCCAATTAATTCGTAACTATTCAGATCCAAGTCAATGGAGATACGTTTCAACCGATGACAATCCTGCCGATGATGCTTCACGAGGAACAAGTGGTGATCGACTATCTCAACAGCGACGATGGTTCCAAGGTCCAGAGTTCCTTTGGAAACCAGAACATGAGTGGCCACAACAGCCAGTCGATATGGGTCAAATTAATGAAGATGATCCTGAAATTAAACAGCAAGTTGAAAGTAATGCAACTACATTAATGACCTAACCCTACGAACAAGTTAATTCTCTCTATCTCTTCTTGGTACCGATTGAAGAAAGCTGTAGCGTATTTCTCGTTAAAGGATTCTACGAGATAAAATACAAGCTCGTTCAAGTGAAAATGATGAAAACTTCAGCGTGAATAGTTACTCCACACCCCTTTCTGTTAAAGAATTAGCTCAAGCTGAAATCGCTATCATAAAGTTCATCCAGTTAACTACGTTTCCCAAAGAGATGATGTGTCTTGGCAACATCAAGACCGAAGATCTAGTAAACTACCGGAAGTTCAGAAAAGCAAGAAAACGAATATCAAGAAAATCAGCTCGATCTATTGTCTCGACCCATAACTTAAAGACGGAATCCTAAGAGTCGGAGGCCGGCTTAACCGTACAGAACTATCGCCAGAAACTGCCCATCCAATTATCTTACCTTACAGGAACCACGTTACAACCCTTATCATACGTCATTTTCACCGCCAGTTGGGTCATGTTGGACGTAATCATGTTATCTCAGCCATTCGAGAAAAGTATTGGGTGATAAAAATTAACGCTGCAGTACGACGAGTCCTCTCCAAGTGCGTTTTCTGCCTTCGTCATCATGGAAAGGTCAACGACCAGAAAATGGCTTATTTACCAGAAGACCGTTACTCCCACCTCCATTTACTCATACAGGGGTTGACTACTTCGGTCCTTTCATCGTAAAAGAAAGACGCAAAGAGCTGAAGAAATATGGAGCAATTTTTACCTGCTTAGTGAGTAGAGCCGTGCACATCGAAATTGTTAATTCTCTCGAATCAGATTCATTCATTTTGTCACTTCGTCGTTTCATAGCTCGGCGTGGCCCTGTACTACGTTTAAGAAGTGATAATGGTTCAAATTTTGTCGGTGCAAATAGGGAACTTAAACGAGCCTTAGAAGAAATGGATCAAGATGACATCCGTATCAAACTTCGCCAAGAAGGAATAGAGTGGCAATTCAATCCACCATCGGCTAGCCACATGGGCGGCGTGTGGGAGCGCCAAATCAGATCTACAAGAAAGGTTCTAGCGGGTTTAATGTACGAGCACTGCAGTCGTTTGGATGAAGAGTCATTCAGAACCTTAGTATGCGAAGTTGAAGCTATAATTAATTCTAGACCATTAACGTCGGTATCAAATGATCCTTCTGATCTACACCCACTAACCCCCAATCACCTACTCACAACGAAGTCTACTGTGGTACTTCCTCCTCCTGGAAATTTCCAAAAGAACGACATCTACCTGCATCGTCGCTGGCGAAGAGTTCAATATCTGGTGAATCTGTTTTGGACTAGATGGAAGAAAGAATATCTTCTTACCCTACAAGAACGAAGTAAATGGCAACAACCTAAGCGTAACCTTATGACGGGAGATGTCGTAATTTTAAAGGAAGAAAATACACCGCGTAATGTGTGGCCATTAAGTTTAGTCGTGGACACAGAACCAGATTCTCAAGGATTCGTTAGGACTGTAATGATAAAAGCAAAAGAAACTGTGTATAAGAGACCAATCTCGAAGATTGTACTTTTGTTGGCCAAAGAAGATCAGTAAGAACTATGTAAACTACACAAGTAGTTTAGAGACCGGGAATGTAATGACGTGCATTAAGTATATTTAAAGTTTGACTATTATGTAAATATTATGCACGATATCTTTCGTGCACGTAAGCATCTTTCGCGGCCCCTGATGTTGGACGTTGAATGGTCATGGTACTTGTGCGCACGCGCAGAATTTGAAGGAGTGAAGACTGGTAATTTAAACAAGTAAAACAACAACCACCTGAAGACAAAAGTAGTATTTCAATAAGATCTTCGCAATTTATCATTTTTTTCTGTAAGAATGCAGTTGATGTTAATAGGTTTAATTCTTTTCATTCTGACTTTTTCATTCTGTCTTTGAGGGCTGTGAGTTTTCTCATTAAAGACAAAATATTTTAAATTGTATTAGCAACCTTACGCGTAAAAAGGTCCGCGACGCGCCAAATTTGCATGTGAGTGTGAGCATGAATTCTGAACAGAACAGTCATGCATATTCCTAGGTAAAATATAAGTTAAACGATGTTTATGCGATAGCAAATTAAGACGTATTATTATACATTATAGTAGTAAAAGCAATTTGATTGGCTAATAGTTGACAGATAAATCGCGCAATCGCGCAAAAATAACTGAGTTATCTGCAAGTGAGCCTTCGGTGGTTAACAAGCGGTATTCATTTGAATGTATTTATGTATTAATAATTGATGTATTTTTGGATGTTGCTAGTAAATAAGGTTTTTCATTCGTTAATACCATGTTTACTATTCTTACGCTTACCTCGACCTTGATAACTCTGCATATCACAAAAACCTCATCCAATAATTGTTTATTAAACTTCTGGACAAGCTGATAGCTTTTATTGGTGCTAGAACTAAATACACTGCTATTTACCATTAGCTCTGTGGCATGTATACGATTAGAAACTATTTTAAATTACCATTTTAAACTATTTTAAAATCCATTGAATAAAGTGATTTCCTTTTAGACACTCATATAGACAACGTATCCGTCGACACTTTCATTGCGGCTGGTGACATTTCCACTGCATTGTCTGTGTTTTATTATCGTGCAAAAGTCATTTTTTATTTTCAATTCCTGGATAAAACTTTAATATGTTAACTTCGTGGAAAGTGTGGACGAAAGCAGCGTCCAGAAGGATCTCTTCCGTGACTCACGTACTCTTCAACATCATTTATTAGTTATAATGTGGTCATTTTCAATCCCTCTGTTTTTGTTCGTGCAATAATGAAATGCGTCTAAATTATAGTCTTTTTGGAGTTTAACTTTATTTATAATATAAGTATGATATAACGAGCAATTTGATTGGCTACTGCGCGTGCATTGTGAGGCCATAATGCACGCTTCTCGCTTTTGAAGTTTTTGTTGCTAAGCAACATCTTAAAAAACATGTAAGGAGAATTTCAGTATTGATCAAATAAATAAATTTTGTTGTTGCCCTATAACTTCTTCTTATATTATAAAAGAATTAAAAAAGCTCGTCGCGTGCCTTTATGGTGTAATAATGCACTCGGGGAAATGTTGGAAGAATACTCGAGAAGCTTGTAAAACACTCGGCTACGCCTCGTGTTTTACAAACTTCTCTCGTATTCTCCAAACATTCCCCCATCGTGCATTATTACACCATAAAGGCACGCGACTCGTTTTTTAATTCTTAAATCTTCGTTAAGTCTTCTACCTTTATCGTTATTTGCTTGTCAACGTTTGTTACGTAACTTACGTACGCGTGCACTACTTCTCCAAAGGTTTTGAACAAGAATAGATGCGGTTTATTTTAAATATAATACTCAACTACAACTCAACTTAATATCTCAACTTCTGTAGGAATAAAATATAAAATGCTCCCTGTAAGAAGCGCCAGTCTTTTCCTTTATATTTTTGTATATCTAGGCGGTGTCTGATAGCAATGACCGAAATTTGCCACATTTACGATATTCGCTCCATTTATTCCATCGACGATGGCGAGATAAACCAACCCCAAACTTTGGATCAAAGTTTTTGTATTTGTAATATTGTATTGTTTTCATTCGGATCTTTAAATGGTGACTTGAAACGTGCATGGAAGCTTGTCGTTATTACGAAATGATGATCAAATATAAATTAATCTAGTGCGGGTAAATTCAAGTCCCGTTACACTACACTCAATTTATTGGCAAGGCACGGCTAAAATGCTTGAGTAGCTGATCTATTTCAATAGTGCCCGGCCTTTATATACTTTCATATACTATTAATTATGAAAAATTCCTTGCTCATTTGAACTACTTTAACAAAACGCGAATGAAATATATTCAGTAATTAATTGTCAATCTTCATGTTCATTTTCGTGCAGTGTACAAGCGCCATAATTATGGTTCTTCTAAAAGACACGTCTTAACTTGTGTGTGTGTGTGTGCTTGCTGATGTTTTGAACAAGAATATTTGCGGTTCAGTTTAAATATAATACCTCAACCTTGGCCGGGGTAAATATTAAGTTCCCTGCAAGGAGCGATTGTGTTTTGCTTTCTCCAGAGGAATATTCAGACGGGGGCTGATAGGTATAACCAATATTGGCGCAGGACAGATAAGATTTCTGATTGACTGTTTTGTCGCAAATTGAAAGATCAGGACCGATGCCAAACTTAACGGCAGAATATTTGTGTCGTTGTATTGCTTCTTTGCCATTCGGGTTTTTCAAAGGGCACTTGAATGGTGGGAGGTCATCGTTATTGCGAAATGAAAACAAAAATGAATCTGGATCAGTACCAGAAAAACCGTCTGCTACTGCCCATTTAGAATTAGTGAATCCACCAAATACGAAAGTTCTGCCATTTTTAACAACTTTTACTACCGTCAGCGTCGGAACTTTCGAGTCGCATCCGTCATGAAATTTCTCACATTCCAGTTCAATTGTTGTTGTCGCTCTCCAACAAACTCTCCAATTTCCTGTTTTTGGCAACCATTCTCCCAATAGTTTTGTAAATTCAGGAGACTCGCCTGACAATATGTCCGAATCCAATTCGTGAACTATATAAAACGTAAAAATCACTTTTATAAAACTGAATAAATATGCAAAAATCGTGATTATTACTCGTGAAATGAAAAATCTTTTGTGCTCAAAGAACAAAGTGGATTTTTGACGTTGCGTTTTTAATACCATTACTTTTATAAAAATGTCGAATAAATAATCTTGCCTGAACATGTTTTCCCATTTCCTGCAAATCCTCTGCGACAATGACATTCGTAGGAGCCAATAGTGTTAATGCAGTTTGCGTTTGAGTGACATTTGTGAGTTCCTTCGGCACACTCGTCAACGTCTGAAATAATCAAGATAATTAAGTTCATGAACTATATATAACATAAAAGATATTCTTGCGTTGTTATTACTCCTGGAATGAAAAATCTTTTGTGCTCAAAGAACAAAGGGGATTTTTGACGTTGCGTTTTTAATACCCCTACTTTTATAAAAATGTCGAATAAAATATTTTCGCCTGAACATGTTTCCCCATTTCCTGTAAATCCGCTGCGACAGTGACATTCGTAGGAGCTAATAGTGTTAATGCAGGTTGCGTTTGAGTGACATTTGTAAGTTCCCCGGACACACTCGTCAACGTCTGAAATGAAAAATCTTGTTAAAGCCTAGTTAACGACCGCTTATATCGTTTAATACCTTTTTATGCATGGCATAAAAGAAGTTTATTTGTGAAAGGAATGCTGGTGTACTCAGTTATCGACTTTATAAGAGATAACAATGTCGTGTGCGCACTAGGTCCCTTAAAGCTAGAATTGCTTATAACGATGAGTGGATCTACTTGGTTCAAACCCTTAGTTATATAACATTGTCGATTAAAACAGTCCTGCCTGAACATGTTTCCCCATTTCCTGAAAAACCACTGCGACAGTGACATTCGTAGGAGCCAATAGTGTTAATGCAGGTTGCGTTTGAGTGACATTTGTAAGTTCCCCGGACACACTCGTCAACGTCTGAAATTAAAAATCTTATTAGAAGCCTAGTTAACGACCACGTTTAATACCTTTTTATGCATGGCATTATTAAGAAGTTTATTTGTGAAAGGAATGCTGGTATACTCAGTTATCGACTTCATAAGAGATAACAATGTCGTGTGCGCACTAGGTCCCTTAAAGCTAGAAGTGCTTTTATCGATGAGTGGGTCTACTTGGTTCACGTTTTGATGTGCATTTTGTTTCCAAACCCAACTCTGTCAAAACTCCATTTATTCCAAACACAATTTCATCAAAAATTTCACACTATACTAATAAAATAAAAAATTTATCAACAATACAACAAGATATTTTCCTCCAACCTTGTACACAACTTTCATTGAAGGTCTACAAAGTAAAATATATTTATTGCAAGGCACATTATGGTAACAACTAAAATTTCAAATGTTACCCAAACGTATGCCCTTGAATTATGCGCAGAATGCATAGTTCATCATCATTTTTAACATTGCCTAGAAAAATTGTCAATACAACAATATACCATACCTTTGCTGTATTAATTAGATAAATATGATCGTAAGAAGCATTTTTCTCCAGCACTTCCTGTGATGTAGTTTCGTCAACCACGCTGTGCAACATTTCACAATTCGTTTCGTTCTCTTTCGAATGTTCTTTATAGTTGATTGATCTGCAACATGGCTCAGTCGCACATTTCACCAGGCAATCGATCATCTCGCCCAAAACAAACATACGTTTAACAACCGAGCCTTTAAGCCTAGAGTCTAGAATATGTTGTAGAGGTTTTCCTTAGTCTTTATTTAGTACATACTTTACATTCTACAATACTACACGCCTAGTCAGCTCGTTCCCAAAAGAACCTAAATCCCTCGTGGTCATCCGGGTTACTAGATTAACCACGTGACTTAACTACGTATAATATCAATACACTACCGATATGTAAATGTTCATTCATTCATTCATTCATTCATTCATTCATTCATTCATTCATTAGAAAAAATAGGCCATTCTATCTTTTGTAAAAATCGGTAAATTAATCCA